ATGAGCCACGAGCCGCTTCTGGTTAATAGAAATGTAATAAATAAATGTCTACATTATATGTTTATCATGTTAGTTTTAAAGAAAATGTACTGTATAATTTTAGTTTTCTCTTTAACTACGCGACTTCGGATTTAGTCGCCAGTTTTCGCCTCGGGCTAGTAATTTAACAGAAACCATTTACACGTCCTACTGACATGAGGTACGATTGAAAAGTGATTTTTTTACGCTCGTACGAACACCTATCTCGTGGGCGTAAAAAGTCTGCTGACCTTGAACTTTACCGCGGCGTACAAAGTCTGCCCGTGCGAACGCACGCTTATACATGCAACAGTGTAAATAGGGAAATACCACAAAACTAGAATAAACTTCAAAATTATTCTCCTCCTCCTATATCGGTTTTCCTTCCAAAGATATTAAAATGAATGCTGTAAGCCTTGTTTCGAATAATTTTATCTGAGCTAAATAAGTGTTTGTTTATACCCATTTACAATTGCCTGTGACTAAGAACTTTAAGAGCTTTGAGAAACTGGATCTAGATATTAAAGCTAGTGTCCACTTTATAGCAACAATTGTGTTTGTGCTTTTATACAAACAAAAATGTTACTAAACTAACCAAACTAAACTAACCTTTTATCAAAATTCTCAAGTGTTGGTACAATTAAAAGCATAACTACCTAAAAATCAATAATTCTCAAAGATTAGTATCCTCCAGTGCGGTAACCCTGAGATTACAACTCCTTAATTGTTATTTCACTATTTTAAAACTAAAGATATAACTGAACTTTATTTAATCAAAGTGAATTCCAAACCATCTTCAGTGGCCTTCCTTTAAAAAAAAGGCCTACTCCTAAAAACAATTTAATGAAGAATCATCCTTCATTATTTTGATCATCTACTTGATAATACAATCTCGGATAAGATAGAGAATTAGTACATATTATAAACAATTGTAGAATTAAAACCGCAAAACCACCAATTTTCATTATTGTAGTGCTTTCTAGTTATTCAGCTCAACAGCTCTTTGCCTAAGAGCCAAAACTATAAACAATCTTTATGGCCACGCCTACATTTCGGCAACAATTTTTTTAAATGAAAATAACTTTGATGTATAAAGTATGAAACTTTACTCATTTGTTACAGATTTCAGAAACATAAGATGTCTTTAGTATAAACAAGATTGATATCAAATGTTTTGATATTTCCCTTATTTCATTGGTCCTTTGTTGTCCAACAGCTGCACAAACTGTACTTTTGACTTTGGCTGAAATACTATCCTAATAATGTAATCTACCCTTTATTAGCACTTTTATTATTATCAAGTGCGCCTTTAAGGCGAAGTAGACAATTTTCGTACGACAAAATGGATACTCGATCAATGAATCGATATTCCATCCTACCATATTGCCAATCGCAATTACGACATTTAAAACAGTTTTGATTTAACAGTAACCCAGATAAATGATGATTGAAAAATAAACTGATTTTGCAATATTACATTATTAGTACAAGGCAATTATTAGGCATAAACCCCAACAAAGAATATGGATGAAAAATAAAACTCACAAATACACTGCTGCATTTAAAAACACGTTACAAGAAGTAGAACTACCAGTAACTTAAAGTATACATCTCGAATTTACACTTTGAGATAATAACAAAGCCGAGAAAATTTTATTTTTCTAAACTTTAATTACCAAGGTGGCAAGTAGTGATTTTTCACATCAGGTCAAGTAGATAACTATGTATCGTATTTACTCAAAATTCGCATGTATTATGACCTGATGCAAAACATTCACGTATATTAGAGTGTTAAATTATAATTACCTAAGATCTGGAGATGTGACTCAATATTAGACGCACGCACGCACGGTCACGACGAAGTAAAGTAAAATATGGCGGACAATGAAGGAAACGTAACGATCGTTCCGACCATAGATTATTGATTGAAGCAAGTGAATAACAGCTTGATGCTGGCAACATTTTATGGCTTTCAAAGAACGTTTGTTTACATTTTATTGGACAGACTATAAACTGTGTAGTCTATGTTTTGTACCTATCGATTTTAAGCAAATTCCTCTGTTTGAATACAAAATCGTAAATTTTAAAGGGAGTAATTTGAGTGGGAAATGCCCTTGACTTCATTTGTCGGAAAGATATTATTTCAAGAACTTTTGTAGCAATTTTTTTTCCTTTGCTTGAGACAATAAGGGGTGGAAAAGTCTAAAAATAATGATAATATAAATATATATTGCCTTACTTATATTGTGTTTATCTAGAGAAATATAGTGATTGATTGTTGTTGTTTACAATCAGCACATAATACAAACTATGTGATTTGCCCAGTGGTTCGAACTATGCGTTATAAAATCTTCAGACAGTCAGTTCTTGTCATATTTCTGAGTAACCAATATTATTTCCTTATTACTTAAGTTAATATATATGTTAAAAATTAAAGTTCTTCTTCATTTAATGTCATTTACGCAATGGTTCTAATTGCAAAACACGTTACAGTTAAGGGTTCTGTAGCTGCAATTTTAAATGAATAGGTAATAAAACAATTCTATCAGCAAAAACATTTCGAGTAAATTACAGATTAAATATTTTTTTATTTCAAAACTAAACATATAATGTAAGGGTCTCCTTAGGAGTAAGGGAATTTCTTGAATTAACAAATGGTAACACAAGTCCGTTAGAACAGACACATAATAATTTACATGTATTTTCAAATGCAATTTTATATCTTGATAGTTACTGAAGCACCCTGCTTCTACTCCGCAATTAAAGAAATCTCATACTTTCAAAACAAACTCCCTTTTGACACTCTCATTATGTTTGAATTTTTTCAATGAACAACATCAAAAAAGTACACAAAATACGTTAAATAATGGCGCCAAGTGAATTGACAGATTCTGTCAAAATAAGACACTATTACCCTGACAATTTTATTAATTTATTGAAAATGTTACAAAAACACAATTTAAATGCATACACAAATATGGCCCCGCAAAAACCGTAAGTTTGGTTTGTCCGGGGGTTCAATTGGGTTTTTATGAGTTCACAAAATTGTGGGTGATTTTGGCTAGACAAGGATGTTTCACTCGGTGAGAGAGACGCTACTAAGTTGGTTGTCAAAACAAATAAAATAGTCCGCTAAAATAGCGTAATTTTGTATCACTTATGCCCACCGAGTTAAATGATTTGTCCATATTTAATTTGGAATGAATTAATAGCCTGGTATAACATAATAACAATTGTACTTTGCCAATAGAGAAATGATCTAATAGACTACTTATTTCAAACTCAGACTTTTTAAATAGAATAGTAACTATCTAAGCAATATAGGATGTTATTATTTCAATATCCAGCAGCATCTATTGCATACCTTATTCAAATAAACCGACTTACGTTGGACAAGTGTTGGTTCTCTAGTAACATACCGAAATAAATAAGGAACTTAAAAGAAGGAAAAAATGAAACTCGAATACCCTTACATATGATTTATTATTAATACTGTAACAAAACAACCACTACTTTAAAAAAATACGCATAATTCATAGCAAAAAATAATATAGGAATGATTTTCTTCAAATAAGAAAACCTACATATACAATGTACCTGTCTTTGCATGTTTAACATTCTATATTCTATTTGAACTTAGCTCCAAAATTCCGAAAGTTGGGCAGTTTCCAAAAAACCTACATTTATAATGGGCAAGTATTTATTTTAATGTAAAATGATTCCAATAAAATTGTCTTGGCAGTATTTAGACCGAATGAAAACTGTATAAATTTTGACAAAACTACATTTCCAATTATTAATTATTAAAAAGAATTCAAACAGAACAAGAAACATAAAGGCATGGGCAGTTACTATCTAATAGGGCAATAACTCTAAAAAACATTAGGTATATAAACACATTTAAAAACTTGCCAAATGACAATCACAAAGTTACAGGTAAAAATGCCTGGGCATTGTAATATTCTATCGATGAATTCAAATTTGATGTTTTAAATTACATAAGCACTCTAAATAGAATATAACTATACCATACACATTCATTCAAAGTACATTTAAATATTAATGTTTAATGTTCAATTAGAACTTATGAAGCTACTTGTTTTACAATTGTCTGCAATAAATGCTTCACATAACAGTATTAACAATTTTAAAATCTTATTTCCAAATGAATGAATGTGTGGCTGATCTTTGTGTAATACTTAAACTAAGCATTATATATGCTAAGCATATATGCTAAAATTTACACTATCACATATCTGATAACGCAAATTTAACTGGTAATCAGTGTTTAGAGTCTAAAGACTTGCTATTTTATATTTTCACTTAGAAACTCAAGAAATGATAATTTAAAATTTTGGATTATTTTTGAATACATATGTTAATAAATTACCATTACTATTTCAGTAATTCTATAGGATTCCATCTGAATAAAAATATTTAAGACCAAATTGAAAGTTGATGTAGTTATTAAATGATAATCAAATTCAAAATTCATCGATTAATTAGAATTTCACTTAAAAATATGGTCATATAGTCATTTGTAGTAATGATGCCTAACAATTAAATGCTTTTTTATTTAACTCTACCTAGCCATGAATAATACTATTTAAGGTCAAATGATAGTAAAAGTAAATGTTATTTTTGGTTATTAAAATGCTTTAAATACATTAATACATTGACCTAAATTGTAACACTAAACAAGTGCATTGTTGAAATAGACATGGTCTTCCTGACCAGAATCATCCAGGTGTTTAATTTTATTCTCACTAATAGAAACAATTAATCTTTATTTTGAAACTATTTTCCAAATTGTTTGTTTCATTTTTAACCTAACATTATAAGGTTTATCACAATTTCAATCATGCACTAGAAAACATCTCACAAGTTTATAAAGTTAGACACTACAAGTACTTAAATCTAAATGGCTATAGAGATTCGGTACTGAATTAAAATAATGAAACACAACCTGACATTTGCGAGATAAATCATAGTTGTAAGTATAACATTAATCTCAAATATTTCATTTGAGTATGATTGAAACTCAAAAATGTATTAAAATAACATTTTAAAGAAAAAAAAACATAGAGATATTACAGAGAAACAAAGTTAAATCGAATCTTAGCCGTTAATTTCATTTGAGCCTTAATCTAAATGTAGTCTTTCCAAATCACTATTCCTTTGATTCTATTATTTCTATAATACTGACGTAGGAACCTGTTAAAAAGCCGAGTATTCCGAAAGCAATCAAAAATAGATTCTTCCAGAGGACCCAATTATATGAACCCAGACCATTCGGCCTGTCCCAGAAAGCAACAACCTCAATAACCGAAGGGAATATAAGTCCCAAAAAGGAAAGACATACGGCACCGACGAGAGATATAAATGGTCCCAAGTTCGGAATAGCAATGGCAATACACAGAGTGACTATAATTATGAAGATTCTAATGCTGTACTCGGCGAGATTCTTCTTGGCACCAAACCAGTGACGCACGTTCCTCCAGATGATGTCCATGGGCACGTAGAATTGCAGACTGTACGTGAAGAAAATGGCCACAGCGATCATAAGCTTCACACTTTGTCCGAGTCTGAAAAGAGAAATAAATTAAATGAACAAACTTTCTCTTCAAATTCTCTTTCGCATAATATATTCTTATAGTTAAATGTGAAAAACGTGGTCTTAATCATAAATTTTCTTATATGCGCTAGGTTTATGTATATCTTTCAGACTGTCAATTACTCTGATCGTTCACTTTGTATGGATAAAAAAGAATACTTACACCTCGTCTTCCGGCAAATTGATGGTGATACTTCCAGATGTCTTATCGCCATATTTCAGATATCCAAAGAATCCAGTGAAAGCGTACAGCGAGACAACAAACAACATGCCAGTGTTTAGTACACCTGGACAGCCAATAAAATGACGAGGAGTCTTCATGTTGTTTTCAAGGGGCATCACAACACCAATTCCTTCCAAGGCGAAGATGGCCGTTCCGAAAAATGTTGGCAAATGATTGAATCCAGCAAAAGGTTTACGCTCGCTGACACTTGGTATATCTTGGAAGAGGTAGTAGAAGGTTATACCCATACCGGTGCCGACCAAAAGGTTTGCCAGCATGGAAAATGGTGCTAAATATTTCAAATTTCTGATCAGATTCATAGAAATGAGTAGGGGCAGCAACAACGCCATATAAATTCGGACATCCATGTCGTGGGGAAACCACTCGCTGTCTTTAGCATAATAATCCGCTACTTGTTTGATGTTCTTGGATACGAACACGATGTAGACACAGCAACAGCCCAACAAATCGATCACTAAGAACGAGTTAACGAGAGCTCTGTAACAAAAATAATTTGATTACTATAGTACGGCAATTCAATAAATTTGTCTTAACAGAAATAGTGTAATATGAAAAGAATAAACTTGTATTTCACTTATAACATTTTTAGAAATATTAACTTAATAGTTACATACTTTGCAAGCCTCGAAAATTTGTGCATAGCGGGCGGTCCAGACAAAAAGGCAGCTTCAGCGGTTTCAGCGAAACCCAATGATGGTTTCTGCATCCTTCTGCAGAGCTCGTGGGAAGTTTTCACCAGAACATGGACACAGTAAGTGCAGATGCCACCGATGAGAAAAGTGGCTACCAAACCGAAATACAAGCCGGCGTTAAGGAAAGCCATAGGCATTGCCAAGATACCACTTCCAAGGGATCCCTTCAAAAGATGAATAAGTGTATCCATGTCACTGGAATTAAAAAAAATATTTAATCACAATCACATTCTCAATTTTCTGGAGTAATGAATACTAGAATGCTTTTATTTTAGGTCAATTTAAATACTTTTATAGACAAGTTTTTCATTTTATAAGGTTTTCTGTGTGTGAATCTATGTATATACGCGATATTACTTTTGGTGAGTATTATTTTTCGATAATGTCCAGTGGGACGAACAATTAATAAAAATATTTCATTTATATCATCACATTCATATTTCATATCCAAAAACATGACTTTTAAAAAGTTTTTTAGTACATAAAAATTCAGTCGGATTAAGGGTTTTCATTGCGCATGCGGCTTGCGGTAGAAGTCCTAATCTTGTACCAATATCTTCCTTTCAATCTTTAATCAGTAAGGTCCAGGTTCCTAACATCTGTAAACGGTTCTTTTAATTTAAATTTGATTGTCTAATATACTTACGATGTTGGATGAGCTAGCTTCCTGTGCTTAAATGGATCGTAATCCTCGTCCGCTTCAACATCTCGTCCCGGTATTTCCATAAGAGGGAGAGTGGACCCAGCTTGCTGTTCCACTGGGATCTCAATAGGATCAACTTTGTATCTGTGAAACATTTTTCAATATTATAATAACCGATATGATTGTAGTTGTATAACTAAATTATGATGTGAGTTAGAACAGAGTGGTATAGAAGTGTTTTCAGGGATTTTATCAGTAATTGTGTATTATAGCTTAAAAATAATGATAGCCAGTAATGAGTACAAACAAAGCCCAACATTTCAAGCATTGTGTGATCGATCGAATGAATGTATGTTCAAATGTCGCGTCGCGAAACCCACATTACATTATCTGCTAATCCTACTCTCTAGAGTACTGACATCTTATTACAGATGATTTATTTGTATAATCGTATGAAAATGTTACTTGTTTGAGTGTTATTGAGTGAAGTGTTATTATGGTCTCCAAGATATACAGTATATTTTGTTTTGTTTGCGTTTCACTCTGTTAAGACTCGGCATTTACAAAAAAGTGGCTCAGCATTAAATTCAATACAGCTTTACGTTGTTTTAAAACAAAGGATGCTCGAGATTTTAACAGTTGTCGCTGTTGAAGTTTTACGACGAAAGAATTTCTATGGACTTTCGGGGGACATGAAGATATACAGGATATTTTCGTATCACTTTAGAATGACATAAAGCTAAATTAAATTTGTACAAAGATAGATGTCGAGAGCCAATCCCGAGCCTGAACAGAGATGGCGCACATTAGGATGAAGCAGACGCTCGACGCCGAGGCACCGTCGTCTGTTCACGTGTAGGTACATATTTCTTTTTAGATTTAATCCAGTACCAAATAAAACAAATTATTAAAACAAAATTGAAACCATAAAATGGAATGATGTACCGGTGTATGAGTCCATTGCAAGATGATCAAGGTCGACGAATGACTTTAATCTCGTGGAAGCTGCACACGTCTTCCCGGATCGTCTCCGAACGGCGACGAGCTTAATTAGCTCGTTAAAGGAGCAGTCAACATACAATACAAAATACCATTTTAAACATAAAAGATTATTGGTAACAGACAGTCAAGTGAGGGCTAAATAAACCCCTGTATCACTCAACTTCTATTTACTAACGGAAAATAATCTTTTATTTGATAATATAGACTACGAATGTTCTTTTCAAAGTCCTGTTGAACAAAAATGGCAATATTATTAATATTCCGACTCCTCTGATGTAATATCTGGTATTTAATAAATATTTTAACTTGCAAACAAACAAATGAGAAGGAGTTAAGCTGTGATAACATGCTTTAATTTCATGTCAAACATATTTAATAAGCAAGGAACAAAAAGGTTTATTGAACATGTCGACAGAGTAACTGTGGCTTTCGACCGCAGTGATACATACTATTGTCATCCCTTAGATACACTTATAAAAATCAGAGACAACAATATGTATTAATACAAGTATAAAGGCAATCGAAATCCACAGAGGTTAGGTTATTCACGACACACAGGCGGTAAAAGCTGGCAACGTCGAAGATAGTCGCCGTGAGAATCCCCGCGCAGTAGTAAGGAACATTGTCACTTACTTGACCATAACGTCTGACAAGTCATTTCTGACTTCTTTTTTCTTAGGATCGTATTCGGCAATCATCGGCCGCATATGGGGTTTCTGAAACAATACAAAATATTGGTATTAACATCAGAAAGCTTATAAATTAGAGAGACTAAATCATAGTGCCATAAACCCACATACGTACACACGAAAAAGCTACTGTTAGTTAAAATAGCGCAAAATTTTACTTTTTAAAAAAATGTATGTATAAAAAGAAATCGCATAGCTGTATACTTTTAATAACTATTACGATAGAATTATAATAACTCTAGTAAAGGAGAGCTAACATTTTTGTAATGCACGTCTTACTAAAGCAAGAAAAAGAATGGAAAGTGGTAGTTCTTTACTACCAGTTTTCTTTCCTCCTTAATTATCAAAGGTTGTTGGTTTTTCCACTTATACAGTTTGTCTACACTCGACTAGCCAATTTTAATACAGTAGAACCTCGATAACTCAAACCTCGATACCATCAGAGCCAAAAACCTCTATAACGTAGACCCTTGATAACTTAAAACCTCTGTAACTTACAATATTTTGTGTTTCCTTTGGGCTTTAACTTATCGAGGTTCTACTGTATTATAAATGCAGAAGTTAGGATGAATGGATGTATACCTAATTAATTTTTACGAATTAACTTCAGAACGGATCTGGATTCAATATGAAACAGAGATGGATAACGGTCTAGATTAGAATTCAGGTCACTCAAGGTTTTTTTTTGTAATGCAGAGAAAATGGCGCTTGACTGCCAGTAAAATATGTTATGAAAAATACAACGTGATTAGAGCAGTGGTTTGCCCGTGACGTTCAATGACGAGTCGATTGCGGCAGGGGCACGCCTGCTCGCGATCGCCACACGTGACCTGGCCGGGGCTATTTTGGTTGGATATAAATAACCAAAGTCCCGTGTACGAATGAGGCAAGTCGCAAATCTTGGTAACTGTGTACGTATATAAGTATGTAAGATTTTTAGCGATTTACAGCCGCAGAGTATTAATAAAACGCTTTGAAAATCATCGATCAAAATCTTACCAAGTGGAAAACATATTTTAGGTTCCTTTTGCTAATTAGCTAGTCCCAAATTAGACTTAGAATTACACTAGCATTCTGTAGTTATATAGGTAATATGAATTTCCGTTTGAACATTTTCCGTTGAAAATTCAAAAGTTAAAAACGTCTTCCCTTCCTAGCTATGACTCACGGAGGGTTGAGTTTGCATGCTACTTCACTCCCCTAATTTTATTTCCACGGCTTTTTCTATTGCAATTTTAAACCTTATTTGTAAAGAGCTAAAGTATTTCGTTTCAGAACGCTTTCAAAAGTACGCGATTGTATGCAAAACTGGAATTAACAGGTTCCGAATAATAAATTATACTGGAACCAGTTTTATATCGCAAGTCCATCTATTGTTCAGCAGCGATCCTGTTCTGGCACAATGACGAAACGTGTTCAGTCTGCATAACTCTAATGGACATTTCAAACAACCGATTTATTTTTTTGTAAAAGTACACGCTGCACGTGGTGTTATTATAAATATGATAAAAATAGATTTAACTATTATATACATTCACTACAAAAATATCAAGATTATTAAATCAAACATTTCTAATCCATACTCATTTCAATAAAAACACATTTTATGGTATATCCAAAATATAAAAATTGTCACTTCCAATTTAATTTCAAAATTCCGTTTTTAAGAAAAGAATATTCAAAAATATTAATAGTTACATAATAATAATGTTTCAGTTAAAATAGTAATAGATTTCGTGAGAGGAAGATAATAAGGAGACTCGCAAGGACTTGTTTATTGTATCACTGGTCACGAGCCTCTAATAGATAGTGTACTTAGAATATATGACAACAAAAATAGCCATTGTTTGAGAACATCTTATGCGCACTTGTATCTAAACCGTTTGTGAAGGCCGACAATGATATTCAAATAATATTCGCAAAGGTATATCGACACACCTCCCAATGTGATTATAATTCAAATAAAGTCTGCACTACATAATAATTGACGTGGTCACGACGAGCAAATATTGATGACAATATTTTTACTTTGTCAACTGTGAAATATTGGGCTATATGTGAATTAGTTTACTTAGTTTACATAGGTATTAACTTATTTCGACTAGTTAATTGTCAGTAGACAGTTGTCATAGCTCGAGGTTTAGAATTTTGGTAATATCGTGCTGCTTCGGAGCAGTTCAAACCCTAAGTTTGAAGATGGCGGGTGCAAATGAAATTGAAAGTGACTTGCGCAATGCAGTTCTGTGGATAGGAAATAGAAAAATCAACGATCGCATTCATTTAATTCTCACTATGTGCATGAAAGACAAGGACGAAAACATTTTTATCTAGACTGCATACTTTACATGCACTCTAGCTCCTGACCCCTTATGCGCGCCTGGTATGTCTACCGCTACATTTTGCAAAATGCTTCTTTACTTCTTCTATTATTTTGAAAATCACCGTTTCCAGAATAGTGTGGGGTCTTAAATCACTGTGTTTAGCAGAAACCCCAGAAGAAGTTTGGACCATTTGGGACCAATTTGTGTTCCTACAGAAATACGCTACTAGGATCACATAAATTTGAGGTAGTATTGGAAAATTCTTTACCTTGTGTGCATATACTGTCCAATGAGTGTTAATTGGAAAAAAGGTTACGTTTAAATAAAAGAGATATGAATAAAAATGCTTTTCTTTTATTCTAAATAATTTAGCAATAGCATAATTTTAGAATGTTTGTAATTAAGATAAACAATCGCGAAACGATTGCAAACTATTGATTAGTTAGTTTGAAAGTAAAAGTTAACTATGCAACATGAAAAACGAGGATTCACTTTAGACATGCGCTGTAAGCATATCGGTAAAATTATTGAACTGTTAGGTTTCAATCTACCAGGCTATCAGAAAGTAAGTAGAGTTGTGGGCTGATTTTCCGCTAATGTCACCACTCACACAATCCATGTCAACTTTTCACAAACTTCAGCATTTTTGTATTTAACTTTATTTTATATTTTTGTGTTAAATTGTAAATATCTACACATATCTATGAGACTTTGTGTGGTTGTTTCAGCAACAAAAACCCACGGTTAGAAGGCACCTTTTATGACCTGTTGTTTTTAAAAAACATTTTCTAACGGTAATTTGCGACGTATTTTGTTTTAATTTTGGCATTTGTTCAAAAGAAAAACAAACTGCGGAGAAGAATATTTTTAAATCCCATTATTGTTTTATAACTAACGTTTCATAACGTTGTAAATACGAGTATATAATAACTACCTACCACAATTTCGTTACCTGATTATTATTTCTATATAACTAATAATATTACTTCTATTAATATGTACTTAACATTTGATAATGATTAATAAAACAATCAATACTTTTATAGCCAATTACTAAATCTACCATTCTTAAGAAAATAACATTGCATTACATCCCTTCTGCGTGTTTTCAAACACCATGTTTACAAACGTAGAATATTTGAACATCCTGTATACGTTGCTTTAGTACTCGCGCATGCGTACTGTCGCTTTGATCGTTCGTATTTTATGTTATCCTGATAGATGAATTTTGGAATGTCGTACATGGATGGTATAGAGAACAGGTGAGGAGGTTATAAATATAAAGCCCCTGCTTGCTTACAGCAACAGTAATTACTTTCTTTCAAAAACATCTGAATTAATATGAGAAACCTTTTTTTTGGTAATTAGTTAGGTATTATTTTTTTACGTGTTAAACAAAGGTAATTTTTACAGCAGTCTTTTCATTAATCATCGAAGATGACGTAAATGTTTCGCGTTTGCTGAATTTATCAGTAGATATATTAGCACCGTTTACAATACATCCCGAAGTTTGTTATCAAGGTTCTTATATACGCGTAGTTAATTAGCCCATCACCTCATACGTTGAGATGAAATCATCACTAAAGCAAAGAATAATAGAATCAAATCTTACATACATATTTACAAAACATGTAATCAATATTCAAAGAGTTAAACTAAAATAATATTCTAATATAAAATTAGCGCTAGCTATACTGTAGAGGAGTAAGCAAGAGTGCACTTGATAAAGTTACAGGCAAGTTTGCAATCACAATCATAAATAAGCGATGTTTTTGATTGCGCAAATTCTATTGAATGTGAGAAGCCGGATCAAAGTGATTTACTACTTTGTTCAACTAGTCGCGAGGTATATCAGGGGGCCGGCGTCAAGGTCTAAGGATTGATAAGCCACTGATGCCACAAAATACTTCCACTCAATGAGTAAGGTTCGCCGTTCAGATGGGCAACAACGATGCGACATTAAGTAGGATTAAGTCCTTTTGGTTTAAAACAGTAAGTATGTGACTTTGTAGGGATGAAATTGAGTGAGGTATATTGTTTAGAATCAATCCATTTTATAGATAAGTATAAAATGATTATTAAAAATGGTCCAGTAATAAATATTTAAGAATGCAACATTGAATTTTGAGCAAATTTTTATGATGGGCATTGAGAAGTTTGGACGAGTTTCAAAATTCCGTGCGTGACAAGTCTAAATATATTTAGGTGTGGCTTGTTTGTACATAAGAAAATTTCGCTCAGCAGTGTCACGGCGAAGAACGCGACGGGCGTCGGCTTAGGACGTCTTCCTTCATGGCTTTGCCAAGAAGTAAATATAAACTTACATACTAACTAGCTTCATAGATAACTGTAAGTCGATGTTGTCTATTGTTTTCAACTTCTAATTTTATGTTTTAGAAGCAAACTTCATCCTACGCACTGTTGAACGTTGAACTACATTTGCTTGCGCGTTATTTTTTGGCGCGTAATTGATAAATTTAGCGAAAAACAACATTTTTCCTTCAAATTATCTAGCAGTCTACTCATGTGTTGTTTTCCAAAATAGAAAGGTGTTTGTTTACCTACAAAAATGAATAATGGAATTTGATTGTTTCTAATACGGTACTAGGATGACACCATAAGAATCTATCATAATTATCTTATCTAATCTAATAAAAGATGTATAACCGAGGGAAATGCCACACATTGTTGGGTTACAAAGTTTACGGAAGA